ACGTATGCCGTATGTCTCGAGAGAAAAAAAAAGAAACAAAAGCTCCCGGAACGTCAAATAAAAAACAAGTGAAAGCTGACGTGTAAACGTGCGCGCGCGGGCCGAAGGCATGTTGTGGGTGACGTTCAATTGTTTTCTGTCCGAAACTTATTTAAAAGTCGGCCGCGATCTATAATTAAGGTATTAAAAAAACGGGGTGCGGGGGGATCCGTCAGGAAGTTGGATTTTTTCCTCGTGGCCCGAAAGTGTTCCCTTAAATTGCTTATTTAAAAGGGTTCGGGCGTATTGAACATTCTTCAGTTTAAATTGCCTTACGCACATGTGCGAGCGGTTTCTTACCTCATCCTGTATATCGTAACCTGTGATTAAGTCGGGATTGTTGCTCCGGGCCCTTTTTTTTTGGGTACGGGAAAATTTGAACGGCACATTTGGAAGCCGTTTACTTTAGCGACGAGGAGTTTTCAATCTCCATTCATGAAATAATAACCAAACGTGTTTCTGCCAAATGGCATCTTCAGTGGTCGACAAACCTGTAATGCTAAAGAAAAACAGGTATCAAACCACAAGCTGCAACATTTTATGATTATTATGGTATGTAAATGATATCGAATTTCTATATCATTGAAACGTTTATGACCAAAATAAAATTCCACAGATGATTTTATTGAGCCAACGCGACTGGGAAGACTTTTTTAAGTTAATGGATTCATATTTACAAATATTTATTCTAATTTTTTTTTATTTCATTAAGTAAATAGGACTCATAACATCATCATCATCTAATTGTCATAAGATGAGATACTTCTTCTATAAATGCCATAGAGCAATTCGTAGGCAAAATACCACAACTTTCTTCTTTTTTCTGGTATCAAGTACCTTTATTTCTTTGTTCGTGCGTTTTGGAATCCCCTTGGACTTTGTTTCACTAGCGGTCTGTGTTTCCATTTCATTGAATAATATTTTAGAGAAATAACCCGGTTCCATGTTCTTAAATGAAATTTTTGCATGATTTATTCATCTTTTAAGTTTAATTTTTCATTCACCCAGCAATCCAAATATGTGTATGTGTTAAGTTGTTTCTTAAGGTTCTTCTTCTTCGATAAGTGCCATAGAACAATTCGTATTTCTCAATACGTAGGCAAAATACCACAACTTTCTTCTTTTTTCTGGTATCAATTACCTTTATTTCTTTGTTCATGCGTTTTGGAATCTTCTTGGACTTTGTTTCACGAGCGGTCTGTGTTTCCATTTCATTGAATAATATTTTGGAGAAATAACCCGGTTCCAGTTTCTTAAATGATATTTTTGCATGCTTTATCCATCTTTTAAGTCTAATTTTTCATTCACCTAGCAACCTAAATATATATATGTTTCTCTATGCACTGTTCCTTCATTTGTTATATCTGTTAAGTTGTTTACATTTTGGTTTTCTTTATGTTTAAGGATGCTTGTAAATCGTCCATTGCAAATAGAATTGTTATTAACACTTATAGCCCCAAACTGTTGTCTTCATAAATAAACTAAGATAATCAGATTATAAAATTCACATTTTTTTGTTTTTTAAAAATAATATATAATTATAACATGGGAAACAATGTTTTTTTAATTTTATTGCTAATTTATTTTAATTTTTCCTTCCTTCGACTTCTGGCAAGTTAAATTGACAAACAATAACACAAGTCATCCAGGATTTTTTTTATAATTCATTTAATAGAGCTTCGCCTGAGCTGTCAAGTTTCCGAATTAAAAACTACAATGCCCAACCATTAACCAAACGAGCAGGGAGCTTCGCTTAAAACGATCTTCTTTTTTTTTTAATTTATGCATATGGTCATCGTAATATCTAACCCTTACTTTAAATAAAGCGCGCAACATCTGCCCGGGGGCTCCAAAAAGGGGGTCATCATACGGCACAAAAAAAGGAGACCGGAAAAAAATAAAATTAATACCGTTTCTATCGATTGACTTCGGCGTGTCGAATCAACCCGATGATGGTTTTTTTTTTGGGCTTGTCATCGTGTCATCGGCCTAATTAACTTTGACGGTTTGTTGATGGCACACGGCTGCCGTTTACCCCGGGGTGTATGGAAACATTAGGCTCGAGACGGATAACGAAAAAAGAAAAAAACATTTGATAACTGAATCACCTGTAGAGTAGTAGTCCATTTTGATTAATGTCGTCCAAAATGAGGCGCGGATCCATGGGTACCAACGGTGCACCGATTATTTCAAAAACGTCCTCTGGTGCTGAGCAGTAAATAATCACAAATATTGTTTGACAACACTTATTTAATGCTTTTCTCTATGGCGTTCCTCTTCAGCTTATCCCAATTTTTCTATGGCTTCCTTTCCTTTTGTTTTGGCATTGGATTTGCTTATCATATAGTTTCTCCCTGTCTATTCTTATTTACTCTTACCATGTAATGAAACCATATCAGTTGTTGTTTTTCCAATGTGGTTATTATGCTGTTTAGTAACATTTTCTAACACCTCTTACTCCTCTCAAGTACTGCTCGAATATTGCTGTTTCGAGGCGCGAATCCATAGGCATCGACGCTTCACTGATTATTTCAAAAATGTCCTCTGGAATCCATCAGAGTGGTGCTGAGTAGTAAATAATCACCAATATTGTTTGACAACACTTACTTTATACTTCCCGCTACACCTTTCCTCTTCTCTCTTTTGTTTTGCTTATCATATAGTTTTTCCCTGTATATTCTTATATTAGTTGTTGATTTTCCAATTTGGTTATTATTAGTTATATTCCCAGTTATTTTGTAGCATGTTGTAACACGTTGTACTCCTCTTAAGTGATGCTTGAATTTTGCTGCTTCGTTGGTTTGTATAGGTTTGGCTATTGGCTTATGAAGTTATTCATAAATTATTCAGTTGTTTCGTCTTTTTTGTACGTCACTCTTTGATGGAATGTTTAGACTTTCATCAATGTTAGATCTCTTATTTTTGGTTCTTGTTCATGCGGTTCATATTCCAATTTTTCTGTTACTTACGTACACTGCTAATATTTTCTTTGATAATAACAAAAACTGCCGCGTTCCTGCTTCGGCGGCATACCATCTGGTACCAACTGATTTTTCGCCGTTGACAGTGGCGTAGAAAATTGCAGCGCGATAAAAACGAAATTGTCGGTTTTTAAATCTGTCCAAAGTCGTAAAACGAAAGAATACCCGGTATTCCGTATGTAGTTAATTGCGCCCGTCCGCCCGATAATAGGATACCACCTGTCCCACGACTTACAGAAACCCCTGAGATACGATTCGAAATAAATTTGGACTTTTCCGATGGGGCAGGTGTACCAAGTTAAAACAATACGTTATTTTTTGGGGTCACGCCGCTTGTGTGGTAGTGGGTGGCTTGTCGAAGATAAATACGTTACTTAAAGGTGTATTAAAGGAAAGAATAATTACTCTTGCACGGCATATGCTCGGGTACTGCCCGGGTATAACTGCGGTGAGATTTTTAATTGGAGTTGTACGCGGACAATCCGTATCAGCTGCCACGTTTTTTTTTTACAAGTTACGTCGTCCCGACAGGAAAGGGGGAATATTTTTTAGGCTGTTATAACCCTAACAAACAGGAGTCAAAATAATAAGTTACCTTAGAGAACGGAGATTTTCTTTCTAAGTTGATAGCTGTAAACCACGGAAAATAAAAAATTGTATGTTTCTGAGTTCTAGAATGTAATTTACCACAGTTTTTACTAGCAAGCAACTTATTTTTGATATATTTTGTTTACTGCACAGAGGCATTGCAATTGCAAAGTTGGTAATTCTAACGTCGTAACATGTGAGTTAATTATCGTAAACCACAGAAAATGAGAAACACGTCACTGAATTTAAAGGTTAAATTGAACTGAAATATTTATTTATTAAAACCACTTAGCAGAGAATAAGGATTTCATTTCTGAGGTTGATCGTCATAAACCACAGAAAATATCACTGAGTTTAAAGTTCTAGAATATAATTACCACAGACCTTCACAAACAAATAATAAACGTAAACAGTAATAGCAAATTGCAATTTTGATAGTTCTGACCATCTTATCATAAACAGCGACTAATTAGAAGAGACAGATTTTTGTTCTGAGTTGATAGCCGCAAACCACAGATAGTTGTAAGTTCTGATTACTCTCCACTTTTACAAGTAAGCAACTCAGTTTCAATATATTTTGATTATTATACATATGTTCTAATTGCATCATCGTAAACCACAAAAAATAAAAAGTATAGAGTAAAGTAAATTCTAGAATCTAATTATTGCATACTTTTACAATCCCAAAGCGTTCTACAAGCAACATATTTTCAATATATTTCGCTTTTTGTACACAAGAATTAAATCTAATTACCACAGACTCTTACGAGCAATCAATACATTTTCAATATATTTTGCTTCTTCTAAGCAGGAATTGAAATTTAAATTAAAATATTTATTTTAATCATTTTATTGAAATATTTAACTTATCACAGAATGAGGACCGTCATAAACCACTGAATGTAAAATGTAAGTCACTGAGTTTAAAGTTCTAGAATGTAGTTACCACAAACTTTTACAAGTAGACAGTAATTGCAATGTTGATGGCTCTGACCATCTTATTATAAACGCCAACTCATCAGAGTACATAGAGACAATCTCCAGAAAATATAAAGCACGTTTTTAAGTTTTTTTCAATATATTTCATCTTAAATTACAGAAAATTAAGAGTATATCACTGAGTTTAAAGTTATGTGGTTCCCACAGACTTTGACAAGCAAACAGTAATAGAGAACAGTGCTAGCAATTTCAATGGTTATAGTTTTGAATTCTGACTATCTTATCAAAGAATAAACATATTAAAATTGCAATCTTCTTGCTAAAATTGAAAAATTGACACCAGGGTAACTAATTTTAGAGCCTTAATCACATGATGATGTTTGGTACCAACCTAGGGGTTGATTTGTTAGTTGAAAGTGGATCGATTTGTTAAATTGAATTATACGTTTGCAGGCGAACGCCCGTACAAGTGCCATCTGCCGGAATGCGGACGAGCCTTCATCCAGCTGTCAAACTTGCAACAGCATCTGCGCAATCACGACGCTCAAGTGGAACGCGCGAAAAACCGCCCTTTCCACTGCAATATCTGCGGAAAAGGGTTCGCTACCGAGTCCAGCCTCAGGACGCATACGTCCAAAGTAAGCCATGTATGTATTACACTCAGTTTTCTTTTTATTTCCGTTTACCGTATAATTTTGGTTCCTACGTGGTTCAGTTTTCGCCGGGGTTGGTACGCCCGAATAAAAAACACCTTCCATATTTTCCCTCACAGTTTCTCTCCAGACATGTATAAATTTCGATAAAATTTTCTAAATAATAAGAAATAATGAGATGAGAATAATATTAAACCATAGAATCCGAGTACGTACTTATAACCATGAGCTTAAATTGTGAGTTTACACTCCACTTCGTAAAAATAAGTATGTCTCGATTTTGATGAGTTTGTTTGACATTGTTGAAATCTTCGGTTTAGTTGCCCAAAACATCTCTCAATTATTACACTCTCCTTTTCTCTGCCGAGGTATTAGGATTTCTAAGTGCTATGCCATATCCTTCATCTGGAACTTTTTCCTTGTAATGTTACAAATCATGATGCGTCTACGCTTACAAACCACTCATTTGTATGGCAAATGGCTTAACCATGGACTCTATGATATCCGTCCGAATTTCTTCTATCATTTGGTGAGCCACATACACCGCAATTAAAAAAACAGAAGTTTGGTGAACACAAGTATGTTTGAAACTTCGGCTCAACTACATATCTGAAAATAATTTTCATTTTACTAGTGTCACGATCACACTTCTAGGTTTGTAATATTTTTTTGAATAAAATTAAGCATGAAGGTAGCTATAGCTTTGAAGCTGAAGTCTTGTGACTATCAGATTCCAAAATTATGGGGTATTTACTCATCCTAAGGGTCTAATCACATCAGACATGGGAATATACTCATAACAAATTGCATATAAGGGTACCTACTCAAGCGGAACATCTGCTTCTGGTTTTTATTTGCCAAAAATTTCTGTTCATAACGCAGAATGAGTACCTAAAAAAATATTTCTGTTCATAAGGCGGAATGAGTACCTAAAGAAATATAACTTTTTTCAAACTGTTCAAAATTATTTAATTTTTTTTTCCTGACAAGTTATATGTTTTTCCAGAAAACGTAACAAAATAATCAATACATGATGGGTCTTGTTTTAGGCTAAGTTTAAAGGAATTTTAGGGAATTTTAATTGCTTTGCAATTTCCAAGTTTTTCCAGTCTCGTGCCAACCCTGCTTTTACGTTACCTTTATTTACACATGGTGGTTACTATTTTATAATTTAAATTATGATTTGATTTTTTTTGCAGTTTTATTCCTTTCACGTTCTTTTTTTATCGGTGTACGCCTAGTTTTAGGGTCGTTTCGCGAAAACAACGGACAACGAAACCGAAAATTTGTTAATAGCCCGAACCAATTAGCCCCCCTCTCCCTTCCCCCCGTGTCCCGTCGAGAATCAAAATTCGAGCGCCGACAGGTCGTTTTGTACACTTTTTTATCGCATCTGCGGATCTAATCGCATTTTTATTAATACGCCCCTGTATTTATAATGTTGCGGTATTTATCGTTAGGGGATCTGCGGTGGGCGGCAATTATGAAGAACGCTTGCAAATTCGCGCACCCCCCCGGTGCCCCCACACCTCGCATAAAATTAAACCGGCTGATATTATTAGCCAAAATTATTTGCGGTTTACCTTTGATCTATGCGCCCAGTTCAGTTTCCACCGATTTCGTCCGCGGGTCAAGAGGGGGCAGGTGGGTCAATTAATATATATACACATATATGTAATATAGTTTGGTTTGTTATATTAAAAAGCAATGGTGATTACGGTGATAGAAAATAACTCCAAATCACATCCGATGCCTTTGAGGGTTCTTTGGAAATCTACAATACAATACTAAGCACAAATACAGAAAACAAAAAAATAAGTACTACCGTCTTATTTCTGGGCGAACTTCATAGTATTGTGGCATTTTGTGGCATCAGTCGTTGTAGTGGCAATATCCAAAAACACCTTTGCACTTTCAAAAAGTTACCGTACTCACAAAAGCAAAATTAGACCTAGTACAAGACCCAGGAGAAATCGAAGCTTCTTCCTTGTAAAGTTGTCACGTAAAAAAGATATTTTTTACAAACAATAGCGCCATTGTCATTTTACGACTGTTTTATGTAAGTTGAGTTAATTTTCTAATTTACGTCTACTTTTGGATACATAAACATATTATTCTGTGTGTAATGCAGATGACCGTCAATTGATCACTCCTTAACTGACTCAAAAAATGTTTTAAATTAGATCTTGCTAAGTTGCATACTCTCCCCCACCCTCTTCAACGCTTTTTCTGAAAAAGTAATTGTAATTGGAGAAGAATTATATCAGAAAATCTCGTAGACCTGTCAAATTTATTAAAAAGAGTCAATGAAGCTTGTAAGAACTGTGGGCTATCTATTAGCATAAGTAAAACTTAATATATGATTTAGAATAAGAGTAAGAAAAGTTCAGGTCGCTACTTTGAAATAATACACTAAACATCAAAACAAGAGAAAAGAAAATGTATGGATGGCAAACGTGGACGCTTAATGAAGAAATGCTCAATAAGCTAGAAGCATTTGAAATGTGGACATACAGGAGAACGCTTAAAATATCCTGGACCACAAGAACCAAAAATAAAGAAGTTCTTCGAAGAATGGGACACGACAGACTACTTCTGAATGTTATCAAGCGACAAAAACTTGAAAAGCTAGGCGATATAATTAGAGAACCTCGGTATAAGTTTCTTCGATTTATACTTAATGGAAAAATATATGGATTGGGCGTAAGAGACTTTCATGGCTTAGAAACTACTCCTGCTACTCCATGCAGCACAAGATCGGGAAAGACCGTGAAGAATAATATGTATTTTATAATAAGTTATTATACGTTTGTGATGTTCAATTTACCTATAATCATCGTCAACGAATATCCGAATACGATACTTTGCGATTCGGGGAATCCCGATAATAATATCGACTCAATCCGGTTCCCAGAACGACGCGACGGCGACGTAACGCACAATATTAATAAATAAAAATATAAATTTAAATAAAGTATTTTTTACACACAATAACGCGTTTTACCACAAACCGAAACTCAATTTTACGTACTTATTTCGCTCAATTGACCAGTTAATTCCACAACCCTAGTGTAATGCATAGCTAAACCAGCATTGGCAACATTGGCCAAGACATTTACATCACGTTCAAACGAAAACAATGCCATCTCTCTTGATTATATATCTATGATCTTTAGATTACTCGGCGCAGTTTTAAAAGCCTTTGACGCGATTAAAAGCGGCTTAAAAGTTTGTCCCGCGAATGTATTTTAACATATTTAATTTAATTAAAGGCGGTTAATCTGGGGGGGGGGGCAGTAATGTTTGCGCGCTTGCGACAAATAAATAGATTTTAATTGTACGTTTAAGAAATACGGCGGGATAATTTATACAATTTGATCGTTGGATTAAATTTTGATTATTGAAATTGAGCAATAGTTTCTGCCTCGCTGGCAATTGCGTAATGTACGTTCTGTCGACGGTTTTCTTTAATTCGGCGGCCATTTGAAAAATCGAGTCACGCAATTATAGCCATTTAAGTTGGGATAAAACATAATGCTCCCCTGTAGAGGACGTCCGTTGCAGAAACCTCTGGGAGATGCTTTGTTAGAAATTCGAACATAGTAACTATCAATCTGCTGGGTCGATAGTTCCCATCAGCTTTAATAATTGTCGTCATAATAGTATATTATTATTTAAAAATTGCTACCTTTCTGGATTGGTAATTGTTTTAATCAATTTACAAAACTCAAAATTTTGTTATTGGGTTGATACGCGGACCCATGAAGTCATATTTTAATTGCGAAGTTAATTCTATTCAGTAAAAACAGACGAACTTAACCAAAATTATATAAACTTTTGAGTTGATATAATTGAAAAAATTTATATTAGTTGGGAAGATGACCCTTTTCAATATACATTTTGTACAAAAACTCTGAGTGTTATGTTAAAAATATTGTTTGACATGCACAAAAAATATTTAAAGCTTATAATAAAACTTCTTTTCTGAATCACCATTAACACTTTTGGCATTGTTGCTAATCTTTATTTTATGCTTTTTTGAGATTACTTTGACGTATCAAAAGTATAAAAGACGCTTGATCGATAGTTCGATAGTTCCCACCAGCTTTAATAATTGTCATAATAATATATTATTATTAAAAAATTGCTACCTACATTTATTTCTGTATTGTTTTAATCAAATGCCAAAGGATAACAAAAATGTCTTTTTTACGTTGTGTAGTTATTAATTTACAGAGTACAAAATTTTGTTGTTGGGTTGATATACGGACCCATGAAGTTATATTTTAATTGCGAAGAAAAACAGACGAAGTTTTTCACAGATTTTATTGTTTTCATCCACTTGCTTGACACTTGGGGCTCCGTTTTCTTGTTGTCAACCAAAATTATATAAACTTTTGAGTTGATATTTCTAACATTTTTTTATTAATTGATATTAGCCGGTGAGATGGCCCTTTTCAATATCTCTGAAAAGTCCACGTCACTGTCACTACATTTTGTACAAGAATTCTAAGTTATGTTAAAAATACTTCTTTTCTGAGTCACCATTACCATTTTTGGCATTGTTGCTAATCTTTATTTTATGCTTTTTTGAGATTACGGTGACGTATCAAAAGTTTCATTATTGCACTGAACTTACGCAACTCAGGCGCAAACTTTTGATATTACAAAAAAGAGAAAATGATTCAAGAGAATAGATTAAAGAAAATAAAAATGAATAAAAAAAAATGTTGCATGGATTTATCTGTTTGGGTTGTATTATTTAAAATAAATATGGGCTAATTCGTCTAGACTCACTGACTTAGTTTTATTCCATTATTTATTACAAAATGCAAAATGACGTTACGGTGTAGATCTTTCTGAACAAATTATAATCGTCAATCAGGTTTTTATTTTTTAAATGATAATTTTTTCTACATTTTCTACAAAACTGAAAATGCTGATTATTAAACTGAAGTGATACGACTGTTTAAAAGCCATAAAAATTTGAAAAC